AAACTAAGTCTCAAAAAAAAAAAAAAAAAAAAAAAGAAATCAACAACCCAAAAGATTAAATAAAATTTAATAGAAAGGCTGCAATATAAAATTAAGACAATATCTCAGAAAATAATAAGAGCAAAAATATAAAAAGGACAATAGAAGAGATTAGCATCATAAGGATGACAATTTTATATCAAATTGATCTACAAATGCAATATAATTTTAATCAAAATTTAAAAATTGAGAAATATAATAAGCCATTCCTCAAACTCACATAGAGAAGTAAAAGGCCAATAATAACCCCCTTCCATACCCCTACAAAATATCAAGAATAAAGATACTTTCTCTACCAGATATTAAGACTTATATTCTAAAGGTATAGTGAATAAAATAATTTAGCACTAATGCAGAAACAAACATGTACGTAAAACAGAACAGAGTACTCAGGAACAAAGTCTTAGATATGAAAGAACTTGATATATGATGAAAATGACATTATAAATCAATATGTGGTAAAAGAACAGACAATTGAATTACTAGTACAGAACACTTGGCTATCCATTTGGAAAAAAAAATTGGCATCTCATGCTATATACACATTATCTTTATGACTCTGGGTTATATAAGACAAAACAATCACTACTACAAAGAAAAATACTGATAAATTCAACTACATTGAAATGTAAAACTAGGCCAGGAATGGTGTCTCATGCCTGTAATCCCAGTACTTTGGGAGGCCGAGGCAGGTGGAACACCTGAGGTCAGGAGTTCAAACCAGCCTGGCCAACATGGTGAAATCCGGTCTCTGCTAAAAACACACAAAAAAATTAGATGGGTGTGGTGGCGGTACCTGTAATCCCAGCTACGCCAGAGGCTGAGACAGGAGAATCGCTTGAACCCAGTAGGTGGAGGTTGCAGTGAGCCAAGATCACGCCACTGCACTCCAGCGTGGGTGACAGAGTGAGACTCTGTGTCCAAAAATGAAAATTTAAAACTGTTCATCATACACAATGTAAACTGCCTCTCTGTCTCTACAAAGAAGAAAAAGACATTTGCAAAAGGAATATGTGTAACCAAGGGTTAGTTACCAAATATATATTTTTAAAAACAAAATAAAACTCCTTTTTTTTTTAAGATAGGGTCTTGCTCTGTAGCCTAGGCTGCAATCATAGCACAGTTCAGCCTTGACCTCCCAGACTCAAGCAATCCTCTCACCTCAGCCTCCCTGGTAGCTGGGATCACAGGTGTGCACCACCACAGCTGGCTAATTTTATTTTTTTAACAGAGACAGTATCTCTGTTGCCCAGGCTGGTTTTGAACTCCTGGACTCAAGCAATTCTCCCACCTCAGCCTCCTAAAGTGGAGGAGCCACCACCCCTGGCCAAAAGCTCCTATTAGTCAATAAAAATATACCAAAAAATCCAAAAGAAAAAAGGCAAAAAATATAAACTGGTACTTCCCAAAAAGGAAATATGAATGGCCAATGAACATAACATGGTCAATGTCAAGGAAGAGGGAATTTAAGCAAGAATGAGATACAATTTCACACATACCCTATTTCAAAAGAAATTAAATCTGAAAAATGCCAAGAGGCTGTAAAGGAAGAAAAACTCTTCTTTCAAATTGTTACACCCACTTAAGAGAACAATTTGGCACATATTTTATATACATTAAACACATACCCACATAAAAACATTTGATGTTCATGGAATCACTGCCTGTAATAATTTAAACTTGGAAAGAGCTTAAATCTCAATGTCAGTGTTATGGTTTGAATGTTTGTCCCTTCCAAAACTCACGTTGAAATGTAATCCTCAATGCGACAGTAGTGAGAGGTGGGGCCTTTAAGAGGGGATTTGGTTCATGAGAGCTCTGCCCTCATGAATGGGTTAATCTATTCATGGATTAATAGATTAATAGGTTATCATGGGAGTGGAACTGGTGGCTTTTTAAGAAGATAAAGAGAGACCTGAGCTGGCACCCTCAGCCCACCAGCAAGCAATGCCCTGTGCAGCTCTGAACTCTCCAGAAGGCCCTTGTCAGATGCAGTCCCTTGCCCTTAGACTTCTCAGCCCCCAGAACTGCAAGAATAAATTCCTTTTCTTTATAAATTAATCAACTTCATGTATTCTATTATAAACAATAGAAAATTGACAAGGCAGTCAGGTAATGAGTAAATTATAGCACATACACAAGATAAAATACTATATAGCAGTTAAATTCTGTGAACAGAAGCTAATTTATTAACTTTAATAAACCTCAAAAACACAAGTAGGCCAGACGTGGTGGCTCACACTTGTAATTCCAGCACTTTGATAGGCCAAGGCAGGTGGATCACTTGAGCTCAGGAGTTCAAGACTAGAGTAGCCAACATGGTGAAACCCCATCTCTACTAAATATATAAAAATTAGCCAGGTGTGGTGGCACGTGCCTGTGGTCTCAGCTACTCAGGAGGCTAAGGTGGGAGGATTGCTTGAAACCAGGAGGCAGAGGTTGCAGTAAGCCAAGATTGTGCCACTGCACTCCAGCCTGGGTGACAGAGTGAGACCCCGTCTAAAAGAAAAAAACACAGGTGAAAAATACAAGTTGGTCAAAGAAGCATCCATATGGTATATCTTAAAATACAAAATACTAAAATAATACAATATACAGTCAATGTATACAGACAGAAAATTAAACACCAACTTCAGAATGGCAGTTATTCCTTTGTGGCTGAAATGGTGGCAGGATGGGGAAGTGATTTAGAATTGTCTTCAATGATGTAACAATTTACTGTTTGTTTACAATTCAAGTAAATATGACAAACACTAACATGATCTAGGTAGAGAGTATTGGTTACATTAATGGTATTGCTGGGTTATATTTGGGCATTGATAATATAAACCCCTGAGGGGGTTGTATGTTCAAATATTTGCTTTAGGTTTATGGTTTTATCAATATAATCCAATTCTGAGATGTACTGTAACACACAAGAAAATCCAAAAGAAATATACAAAATACCTCATGAAATTTAAAGAAAAATTTGCCTCCATCCCAAATAAATGAAAATTTAAAATTTTTGTTACAGAACATATTTTCTAATCATACCTGTATCCGTGTGTGTGTGTGTGTGTGTGAAATAAAATCATATTAAGGGCATTGGAAATTGAGGAAGTTTCTTCTTTTTGCCACGAGAGGGGGCTGTTGAACTTAAAATATTTCTAAATGAGGCTTGGTTTTGAACTGACATTTAACATCACAGGAAACTACATTTGGCTGTTAAAAAATAAACTTGCTTTCTTTCCACATCTTCCAGAAACATAGCCCAAAAAGTATAATTTTTTTACAGATACTCATATAAAAAACATTTCGCAGAATCCAAAATATGGTTCCGTTCCAATTCAGAAGAATTACACGAGTATAGTTAGAAAAGTATCAGAGCTAAATGTACTCCTCTTTTCTAGCTTATAAAAGTTATCAATACAGCTAACTACAACCTTCATCCATTACATGATTATCTCCTGAAAGACCCCAAACAATTCCTCTTATCTAAGTCCCCAAGGCCAACAAAGTTCTACAATTAAAAAGCGTTTGTTGCTGGAGAGTATAAACTGGTGCTTTGTATAACATATTTCATAATTGTGAATCCATAAGCTTGAAGACGCAGTAATTATATTTCTAGGCAGTTACACAGAAGAATCACTTGTGGCCGGGCGCAGCGGCTCTTGCTGTAATCCCAGCACTTTGGGAGGCCGAGGCGGGTGGATCACAAAGTCAGGAGATCAGGACCTTCCTGGCTCACACTCTACTAAAAATACAAAAAATGAACCCAGAAGGTGGAGGCTGCAGTGAGCCAAGATTATGCCCCTGCACTCCAGCCTGGGTGACAGAGAGAGACTCTGTCTCAAAAAAAAAAAAAGAAATGAGAAACACTATCTTAAATTGAGTAACTTTTTAGGTAACACCAATAAGAAATCATGTTAATATTCCAGAGAAGGATGCCTCTATTTTGTGCTCCAATTCCTGATAATGAAAAAGAACATGGCATAAAATTGAGATTTTCTTTTTATAATGGGTCTAAATTCTAAAGCCCAGATAAGAGAAATATTCTAACAAGTTTTGTCTATTAAAGGTTTCACTGAGAAGGTTAAAAAAAAAAAAAAAAAAAAAACAATTCTCTTAGAAAGCTACACAAAGAGAATACTATTAGATACTAACACCTAATTATAGTATGTAAAACTAAACCCGTCAAAAGCCAACAGAGAAGAAAATTTGACTCTCTCCCTCAGATTGTTTCTAAAAAAACATTTTTTAACACAAAGTCACAATAGTTTCTTAAGATTTATTTATAAAAGGAAAAGTTATTTTATTTTATTAATAAAAAAAAGACAAGTTGGGAAACAGAGCTCTAAACATTCTAGTTACAAAATACAATAAAATTTACCTTACAAAAGCAGCAAAGCAAGATACTATTGGCAGTAACTAGGGAGAATATTCCCCCATTTTTCTGTACACATCATTATGAAAGACTGACACCTAATTTTAATTTCTTTTAGTACTTCATATAGAAACTTCAGTATAACCACTGTGTTTCATTTAGGAGGATTTATAGGATTGATCAGGAAGCTATACCAAAATCACAACAGATACATATTTTTATACAGGTCTTCGAATTATATTTTATAAATTCAGATCACTGGCTGAGTGTTTAGAAATAGAAGGGCTATTTTAATTCACTTAATTTTGCTTGTTTATTCCAAGTAGCCTTTAAGAAAATTATCAAAAACAACTTAAATATCATGTTCTCTGTGAAAACTTCCTCAGTCTCCCAGGTAGCTAATCAACTTCTCTTTTGTGGTCCTACAGCATTTTATTTAAAATTTTATCACACAACACTTTCCTCTTTACATGTTTCTGCATTGAAATATCTTCCAGGACAGAAACTAGATCTTAATTAGCTTTATAGCCTCAGTATCCAGAACAGTAACTCAGTAAGTACTTAGAGAATGAATGAATGAACAAGCAAGTGAACTAATGAACTAATTACACAAACTACAAACACTTAGAATACACGAGGTCTAAAGGGTGGTTGTACTGTCCTTCCAGATTCTACAGAAGAGGTGACTGGGAAGAAAAGCACTGCACAAAGACCAAAGGTTTGCAAAAGCTGTGGTTTCACTGGTATTTTCAATAATTACATATACAACAAATTCAGTATTTCCACTGTTCATTACCAGCTTTTACTCTTAAAAAAACCAAGTGACTTCTATTCTTTTCATATTTTTGGTCAACTTCTGTCTTGCAAAGTTGCTTGTGACACACAGTAACTTATTATAGGTGGATATGTTTCATTCTTGTGAAAAATGAGTATCTTTGACATTTAGGTTATTTCAGTTTGTCAATTTATGTAGAAAAATTACAAAAAATACATTGTATTATCACAAAATAAATAATTAGAAGAAGTGATAGAAATGTATTTGAAGTTTTAAGTTAGTTGATTTGTGGGGTTTTTTCTTAAAGACGATTAACTTCACAAATTTCCTTTAAAACACACAATAACACAATAGTTTGAGTTTGAGCCTCTCCTTCCTCTCCTTCAAAATAAATACATATAATCTCCTGAAAAAATGCAAAGTACACTGGAATGAGAATCCAGAGGCCTGCAGTCTTTTCCTACATTAATCATTCAGTCTATAATCTGAGTCAGTAACTTCCAAATCTCCATCTGCTCATGTATAAAGGGGATTAGATTTAATCAGTAATTTTCAAACTGGACTATAGAAGCCTCAAGGATTCTGTGTGTTTCAGGGTTGGAGGAATAGAGGATAATTAAGAATTTGTACTTCTTAAAAAGAGTTCAAAAATTGCTACACTATATGATTTGTTAGGATTCTTTAATATCCAAAATCCTATTATTCTATTTCTTTATCTTATTCAAAACAGCTATTAGTCCAAAAATATACATCCTTCTTAAAAATCATATAATGTATGCAATGGAAATCACTGAACTCTAAACACTAATGGTATCTGTTGGTAACAGTTGCCCTATTGTTATGTAACAGCATATGAAACATGGCCTTCCAGAATTAAAACTAGAAATTATTTTCCCTTTGAGTCAATTATCCCACTAATGTAATTTTTAATATCATAAGCATTAAAAAGATATATTTAAGGAACTGAATTATTATTTTTAAAATACCTGTACTATAAATTGTAATTCTCTTCTTTCTGCTTCCCATTGTTCTGCTTGTAATCTAAACTCCTCCAATGCCGTTTCCCTGATATGAGACTCCATCTCATTCTTCTCCTGTTGATGTTTTTCCAACGCTTCCTTCACATAAATAAAATCTTGCTTTACTATTAGATCAATAAAAGTTATCTTTCTTCCTTCATCCCCAGTTTAAATGTACAAAGAGGCTCTCCTTGCCTATAGATGTTAAAACTCATCATAATTCATGTTAAAATCATTAATAAAACTATCATTTGATCATCAGAATGTAGATATGAGTAAGAAACTATGGTAATTTAAGCAACAGGTTATACCTTGTTTATGTAAGCATATATTTACCTATTACCTAAATATAAGTATATTTAAGCAACAGGCTGCATATACTTGTTTATATAGACATATATTTGATCCAATTTTTCTGAAAAATGTAACTTCAGAGGTTTGAACAAAATGTCAATATATGATATTAAATGATATATATAAACAAAGTAGATTCCATTTAGTATGGAAATCTCTACCTGTGATCAAAGTGTTTGGATTATCCCTGACAATTTATATATAAATTTGACACAGAACAATGTATCTCCAATAGGGAAAAAGGAGCAAAGAAAAGAATTCTCTGCAACAAATTAGGATAAGGTAACTCTGGACTGTTAAAAATTTGAAAAGCAAAAAACAAAAAATTTAAGTATGGACTGTAATTTCTAGTTCTATAGATAAATAATACTTGAAAAATTCCATTTCCTTTTGGGTTTTCCAAGGTGTACTACATTTGCAAGATCTAATTTGGTTCAATATCTTAAAAATATAAAATGCAATGTGCTGAGAAGCCCAATTTTCTAACTATAGGATTTTAAATTAAGTTCCCATTAACAGAAGAAGAAAAAGTCTATGGTTTACATTTGAGAGAAAGAAAGCCTCTCATGTCAATGTAATGGTAGCATGGATCTGTGTAATAAATATTACCCTCATAACTTATAGAAAGCCCTCACAAAGAGCCTTGAGGACTTTTTTCCCTCAAGGGCTAAATAGTGACTCCAATTCAACTCCAAACTGTCCCAAGGATCTCTGTGCAGATCAGTTTAAAGCCAATAGCCTAAAATCAAAGCACAGTTATTCTAAGTAACTAACTGAGATCATATCAAAACCTTCTATCTTGAGGTGCAAGCTGATTGGCTAAAGAAATGCTGCCACGATCACCCTCCTCTCCACATAACTTCAAAACATTTTATGTGGGGAAGGTTAAACAGGCCCATCCAAGGACTTATAATATCAGCTACCACCTAAACCTCCCTGATTCCCACACCAATGGAGCCCTTCTATATGCCAGCTACTGTTCCAGGGTCTAGGAATATAGCAGTAAACAAAAGAGACAAGCTATGCTTCTGATGTGGAAGAAATCAAAAGTAAACCTGTTGGCAATGACAACATCAGAGAACCACTGTGCGAAAACATTTACATTTTGTAAATGGTTTTGTATAATGAATTTTTAGTAAAGATACATTTCCAAAGTTCAAAAAAGCCATTTACATTTTGTAAATGCTTTTGTATAATGAATTTTTAGTAAAGATACATTTCCAAAATTCCCAAAAAAGCCATTTACACCAGTGGTAACACAGCAGAACATTTTTATCACAGTTTTTTTCCTTTTTTTCTTTTTAGAGACAGGGTTTCACTATGTTGCTCACATGAAGTAGAGTGGCTACTCATAGGTCCAATCATGATACGCTGTGGCCTCAAACTTCTCGCCTCAAGTGATCCTCCCAAGTCAACCTCCCTACTAGTTGGGGGAACTACAGGCATACACCACCATGCCTGGTGTTGTCACGTTTGTTTTTTGCTTTTTTTCTCATTTTTCATTATTATTCCAAAAAAATGGCAAATATAGACAACTCAAAATCTACCTTGTAAGTCACTGGCAACTTCAACTTTATACCGCTTTTACTTTAGGGAGTAAAAAAAGAACAAAAAAAATGAGGGAATAAATGGCTCACAATAATTTTAGTAAAATTTAAATATGTTACATATCGTATCTATACATAACATGCTCTACATAGATAATGAAGCTCATATCAAACGCACAAATATTTTTCTATATTTATTGTATATTTAGACCAATATGTCAGGCCCATATTTCTAAAATTCCAAATTTTCATGTTGCTGGACAAAATGAGCTCTAGATTTTGACCTTCTTACAATATGCTTATATAAGTGCTTTGTTGGTTTTTAACATTTTGATTAGTGGCTGCAAACTGTTTTTCACCCCAAAAAGTAGACCTATTAATACACTCCAAAAGAGACCAGCAAAAATGCCACTAAAAAAGAAGAAAAGGGAGGGGGGAAGGTGGGGGGAAGGAAAGGAAAGGTAGGAGGAAGGAAAAAGGAAGGAAAGAAATCCAGGATAACTTCAAGTAATGTACAACACATCTCAGTGAATAGGAAAATTCCTTTATAAAAACTACTTTACCTGTAGAGTTTTCTCTAGTCTGCTTTTTTCTTTCATAAGTAGATCATATTCTCGATTGCAATTTTGGATCATATTGTCTCTTTCCTCCAAATCGTGTTCAAACCGTCTGCATTCTTCTTTCCATTTTTGCTGAGAAGTCTGAAATGCTTTCTCAATCTCATTTGCCTTTGCTTGAAGTTCTGAATTCTGTGCTATTAAGAACAGAATAATAGGTAAATTTACAACCATGAATTAAATAACAAGGAGCCCTAAAACCTAGGCTTTGGAGTTGACACCATTTACGGCACGGTCTTAGGATAAAACATTTAACCTTTCCATTCCAGTAAACTCTTGAAAACCTTTCCAGTTCAGTAAACTCTTGAAAAGCTCAGTCTCTGAACCAATCTATCCTATAATTTCTCAATCTCTTCTTCCCCTTCAGACAACAACGATTTTGCTATGAAACAGTGTGACATATTTCTGATGGCGTATCCAACTCTAGGTGCACTTCTAGCAACAGCTGCAACTCTATGGGTTTTTGTCCTATTCGAGAAAAACAAACCAGCTGAGTGTGGTGGTGCACACCTGTAATCCCAGCTACTCTGGAGGCTGAGGTGGGTGGATCACTTCAGCCCTGTAGTTCAAGACCAGCCTGAGAAATATAGGGAGACCTCCTCTCAGATTTAAAAAAAAAAAAAGAGAGAGAGAGAAAAGAAAAATCAATTTTTATTTTTTAGACGGAGTCTTGCTCTGTTGCCAGGCTGGAGTGCAGTGGCACGATTTCAGCTCACTGCAACCTCCGCGTCCCAGGTTCAAGCGATTCTCCTGCCTCAGCCTCCCAAGTAGCTGGGACTACAGACGCATGCCACCACCCTCAGCTAATTTTTGTGTTTTTAGTAGAGACAGGGTTTCACCATGTTGGCCAGGATGGTCTCAATCTCTTGACCTTATGATCCACCCACCTCACTTCCCAAAGTGACCCACCACGCCCAGCCAGAAAAATCAATTTTTAAGACTGTGATATATAGGGCAAGTATTTAAAAACAGGAGATTACAAATGTTGATATTTGACTATTGATAACAAACCAGCTGTGACATATCTTACACAAGTGTCACAAAGTTGAGACTGGAAACCACTGCCCCAACACTTAGAACTGTAGCTATTTACTTCCCCAGATTTAGGTGCAACTCACCTCTTACCCTATCAACACATTACCACTGCTGCTCTGTTTCAGCACCTAGAAAAGAAGGAAATGCTTCCAGGTCTGGCTCCATCACATGCCACCTGATTAAACCTCCCTGATTCTCTGATTCTCACCAGGAATAAAAATTTTCCTAGTTAAGGCCAGGCACGTGGTGGCTCACTCCCAGCACTTTGGGAGGCCGAGGCAGGTGGATCACTTGAGGTCAGGAGTTCGTGACCAGCCTAGCTAACGTGGTAAAACGCCATCTCTACTAAAAATACAAAAATCAGCTGGGCATGCTGGTACAGGCCTGTACTCCCAGCTACTCAGGAGGCGGAGGTAGGAAAATCGTTTGATCCTGGGAGGCAGAGGTTGCGATGAGCTAAGATTGCACCACGCACTCCAGCCTGGGCAACAGAGCGAGACTCCATCCCTAGTTAGGTTGTTGTGCAGATAAAATGAGGAAATGTTTATAAAAACACGAGTTAAACTAAAAATGCCACAGTTGCATTAGCAGTACTATTTCTAAATTATATTTCTTTGCACTTTGAATGAATCATACGTTCAAAACATTCAAAATACAAAGGTATAAAAGGTACAAAAGGAAATATGTTAAAAGTCTCCCTCCCATTCATCAGCCATCTCCAGAAGACATTTTTCCAAGGTCTCTCATCCAGCATTGCAGGAAAGTAGTCTGAGGCCATTTTGACTTATGATGCTTCGTATTTGACCTAATTTTCTTTTCTCTTGAAAGCTTTAGGATCTTCTCTTTGTCTTTATTTTTCTGAAATTTCATAATGCTATGCCTTCAGTAAGTCTACTTCTTTCCATAACAGTGAATATTCAATAGACTCTTTCAATCTGGCCATTTATATCCTTCAGTTCTGAGACGTTATCTTAAGCAAGTTCATTGATGATTTATCCATCTCTGTTTTCTCTCTAACCTCTTTCTTTCACTATTCCCTATTATTCAAATGGGACTTCAAATTTTTTCAGCTCTTTCTCCTATTTTTCTACATCAGTCCTTTTAATTCTAATTTCTGGGAGGTTTCTTCCATCTTCATCTTCCAGTGCTTCTAGGGACATTTTTCATTTCTGCCATCATATTTTTAATTTCTTAATTTTTCCAAGCCAAACTGTATCCAGCTTTATTAATTATACTTTTCATAAACAATAATGGTATTGCAGGCAGGTATTTCAGTTAACAGTATACAACTTTCAAACCCCCTCCTTCAAAGGACTATCAAAATCAGAAAGCCACTACAAAACCCAATGACAACTTCATTCGATGTTCTGAACAGGAAAAGTTTAGCGTGGGAGTTGACACTTCACATTAACACATTGTTTAACAACTTTTCAAAAGCAGACTCTGACTTTTAGGAAGTGAAATGAAAATGGCAGAATTTATCGAAAGATCAGCAATCTAGAAACAGAAGTGCTGCTATTTTGAAAAGTACCATCTCAATGGTGTTGCTGGAAAGTCCAGATTGCCTGATACACTGGCAACCAATTACCGAGAGTCAATCCCAAGAGATGTCTGGGCATAAGGGAGTTAAGTCTATGCTGAAGGTGGAATGGGAGAGGAGGACATAAAAACAAATTTGTTTTTCCACACCACAAGGTGTTTGTGCCAGGGTGGCTATGTCATCAGGGAATCTCTCCTCCTGGGAGCCAAGAGGAAGTCTCTCAAAACTAGAAGGGAAAGGTGTTTTCCCCACATCAATCCACTTCGGAGACATTCTACTAGTAACATATACCCCTTCCCCAAAAAACAACAATGACATGTTCTGTGGGGTAATAATACAGCTTAAAAAAAAAAAGTACAACGAAGCCTGCATTTTCACAAAACTTGGTTGAAAAATATTTCTAACTGTATAGGCACCAAAAGTACACAGTTATCAAAAATGCACACACTTCACTTGGCATCTCCAGCACCCTAGCTCATTTATTGGAAAACTCCCAACTCAGTATCATTAGGTTTTTCCTCCTGGCTTTGTATTAGTCCGTTTTTCACGTTGCTGATAAAGACATACCCGAGACTGGGCAATTTACAAAAGAAAGAGGTTTATTGGACTTATAGTTTCACATGGCTGGGGAGGCCTTATAATCATGGCAGAAGGCAAAGAGAAGCAAGTCACATCTTACATGTATGGCAGCAGGCAAAAAGGGGGCTTGTGTAGAGAAACTCCTGTTTTTAAAACCATCAGATCTCTCAAGACCCATTCACTATCACAAGAACAGCATGGGAAAGACCTGCCCCCATGATTCAATCATCTCCCACTGGGTCTCTCCCATAACACATGGGAATTATGAGAGCTACAAAATGAGATTTGGGTGGGCACACAGAACCAAACTATATCAGCTTGGTCAGGTGACACACAGAAGAGGCCTCCAACATCCTGAATAGAGTATAGAAATCCAGATGTTACACTGGTCATTAGAGAAATGCAAATCGAAACTACATTGAGATACCATCTCATGCCAGTTAGGATGGTGATCATTAAAAAATCTGGAGACAACAAATGCTGGAGAGGATGTGGAGAAATAGGAACATTTTTACGCTGTTGGTGGGAGTGTAAATTAGTTCAACCATTGTGGAAGACAGTGTGGCGATTCCTTAAGGACCTAGAAATAGAAATTCCATTTGACCCAGCAATCCCATTACTGGGTATATATCCAAAGGACTACAAATCGTTCTACTATAAGGACACATGCACATGAATGTTCATTGCAGCACTGTTTACAATAGCAAAGACCTGGAACCAACCAAAATGCCCATTGATGATAGACTGGACAGGGAAAATGTGGCACATATACACCATGGAATATTATGCAGCCATCAAATACGATAAGTTCGTGTCCTTTGTAGGGACATGGATGAACCTGGAAACCATCATTCTCAAGATGAGACAAGAACAGAAAATCAAACACCACATGTTCTCACTCATAGGCAGGTGTTGAACAATGAGAACACATGGACACAGGGAGGGGAACATCACACACTGGGGTCTGTTGGGGGGAAATAGGGGAGGGACAGTGGGTGGGGGGAGTTGGGGAAACATAGCATGGGGAGAAAAGCCAGATATAGGTGAAGGAGAGGAAGGCAGCAGATCACACTGCCATGTGTGTACCTATGCAACAATCTTGCATGTTCTTCACATGTACCTCAAAACCTAAAATGCAATTAAAAAAAAAAAAAAAGAAATCCAGATGTTACCTTTTGGGGAAGTCAGTATACAAAAGAAGCTGGGCATGGTGGCTTACACCTGTAATCCCAGTACTTTGTGAGGCCAAGGTGGGAGGATTGCTTGTGGCCAAGAGTTTGACACCAGTCTGGTCAACATGGCAAGACCTGGTCTCTAAAAAAATAATAATTTTTTTTTAATTAGTCAGGTGTGATAGCATATATCTGTAGTCCTAGCTACGCAGGAAGCTGAGGTGGGAGGATGGCTTAGGCCCAGGAGTTCGAGGCTGCACAGAGCTATGATCACACCACTGCCCTCCAGCCCAGGCAACAAAGTAAGACCCTGTCTCTAAAAATAAAAATTAATTAAAAGGAAGCTGGAAGGAATGGTTCCCCAATATCTAGCATTCAGAATCTTCCTGGTTTTGCCAGTCAAAAGACTCTCTATTTTACCATCTCCAGGGATTAAACCTCCACTAGCAATTCTTAAGTAACCCCAGAGTAGCATGCTCACGGAAGGAAATCCAAGGACCCATCTGCCTCTCAAACAGCATTCATCTGCCCCTCCCACACATAATTCCAATGGTATCTGGTGCTTCCGGTTTATAAGCCTTTTGACTAAGAATTTGTCTCTCAGCTTTTCCCACTCCTAACTTAGGATTCTAATATCTCAATTATGCTAACTGAGTTATTCCTCTGCCATTTGCTTTCCAGCTTCCCAAATTTTCTCTCTTGTCACATTCCCTATTCTCTCAATTGCTATGGGATTATCTCATAACTCCATTAGGTTTTTTACACCACTCTCAACATTTCATTGTAAAAATTTTTAAAACACAGAAAGTTG